TGATCGATCATGAAATGAAGTCGAAATGTTGGCTTGGAATTGAGGAAAATATGGGAATATAATCTTGTTACGAATTCTTCATTTGTCGTGTATTCATCGATCATGAATTGTACTCGAAATTTACCTTGGAATTGAGGAGAATTTTGGAATATAATCTTTGGATGAATTCTTCATTTGTCTTCTGTTCATCGATCATGAATTGATCTGGAAATCTTAGCGTGGAATAGAGTAGAATATTTAAATAAAATCTGAGTATGAATGACTCATTTGTCTTGTATTCATCGGTCAAGGAGTGAACTCGAAATCTTCCCTTGGAATGGAGGAGAATATTGGAATATAATCGTACTGTGAATTCTTCATTTGTCTTCTGTTGGTTGCTGATGAGCTAAACTCGGAATGTTTGCTGCGAGGTGAGTAAAATATTTGAATAAAATGTTACTATGAATTCTTCATTCGTCTTGTGTTCATCGATCCTGAAATATACTCGAAATCTTAGCTTGAAATTCAGGAGAATATTGAAATACAATTTTATTATTAATTCTTCATTTGTGTTCTGTTCATCCATCGTGAAATGAGCTCGAAATCTTATCTGGGAAATCAGGAGAATTTTCAAACAAGGCTTTCCTTTGTATCATTCATTTGTCTTGTATTCATCGATCCTGAAATATATTCGAAATCTTAGCTTGGAATTCAGGAGAATATAGGAATATAATCGTGCTATGAATTGTTTATTTGTCTTCTGTTCATCGGGGATGAACTGAACTCGAAAGCTTTACTGCGAGGTGGGAAAGGTATATGAATAAAGGGTTAGTATGAATTGTTCATTTGTCTTGTGTTCATTGATCATGAAATGAACTCGAAATCTTAGCTGGGAATTGAGGAGAATATTGGAATATAATCTTTCTATGGATTGTTCATGTTTCTTGTATTTATGGATTATAAAATGGGCTGGAAATCTTTGCTTGGAGTTCAAGAGAATATTGGAATATAATCTTCTTATGAAGTCTTTATTTCCCTTCTGTTCCTCAAGGATGAACTGAAGTCGAAATGTTTGCTGGGAGGTGACGAATGTGTATGAATAGAATGTTGTTATGAAAGCTTGATTTGTCTTGTATTCATCGAGCATGAAATGAACTCGAAATCGTAGCT